TTACTCTCATGTATTGGCCTGCATGGGAAGCCATGGGTTTGACACTGTAACAGACCTGGCTTTTCAGGGTTTGGAGAACTCTTCTGTATTAACGTGGTTTTAAGCTGTGTTAAAATTACAGTGCATACATCATACATTTCTCAGCTCAAATACCCTTCTAAATAGAGTATTTTATGTCTTTCTACTAATTCTGACTCTGGCTTCAGTGTAGACAAAATAGCCAAAGAAATAATTTATCAAACAGTTAACTGTTTAGCTTTTAGAAAGCTGTTGCTGAATAACATAAAAGATTATGGCAAGGACTTCAAAGGGAGTAAAGTAGAAGTAAAGCATGATCTGTTCGAAGAAATAAGAAATATACTCTTGTCTATAAACACTATTAATGTTGAGTTAAATTGCAGCTTAAAACTACTTTAGGGAGCTTTGAGTTAGTTTTGTAGTCCTGATGCGGTGTAGATAAATAAAAATCTGCTGGGCATTTGCACAGTTTGGTCTTCAGGAAAATCAGTAAACAAATATTAATTTCTTTTCAGACATAGAAACCTGAATTGTAAAGACTGGTTTAGAGGTGATCAGGGTAAATATAACTTTAATTCTTAGTAAAATCTTTGTAAGTCTGAGTAATGTTCTTGTTAATTCTTAGTAATATCTTGATAAAAACACATGACTTGGAGGAAATGAAAATTCCATTTCCGCTGACTCAAGGGACTCTGGGCAATTAAGTTACTCCCTGTGTGCCTACCTTTAAAACAGGGTTAATGTAAGGTGTGCAGGATGCGATGGTAGAGGCAGGAAATGCAGCATGAATGAAGGCAGGCAGGAGTTGAGTATGATCTGTCTTCTGTGAAATACCTTGAGACTTTCAGAGACAAGGAACTTCACAAATACGGAATTCCAGTACTACTGTTGAGGGTTGTAAGTTAGAAACAAATGTTGTATTTAGTTGGGATTGAAATGTTGAATTCCTGATTTGCAGTGTATTACTGACACTAAAGACGCGATCTTGTATGTCTTTTAAGAGAGACATTTTGTATTCAAATCCAGGTTATGACTTGACAAAATCTGATGGAAATAAAGCCCTTCAAATATAGATGTGTTGTCAGTTTGAAGAGACCTTTCCAATATTGTTCTAGACTGAAAACAAAAGCTCTTCTTCACAAAGCAAAAAAAAAAAAAAAAAAATTGTCTGCCAACCATTTCGTCAGATCACAAAGAGTAAAATTTCAAGTTACTGTTTATTGTAAAGTCTGTCAGGAAATGCTCAAGGAAAGGCAGTCTGATTTCCCCCTCCCTGTTCTTCCCAAAATGGTGAAGTTGTGTTGTTTCTTGAGGTGGAAGATTTAATGTGTTATATACCTTTTCAGTGGGGAAAAATGAGTGCAGGCTGCAGTTCTTAGTCTGGCAGCAGCATTGTTCATTCAGGAAATTCCCCCCACATACGGATAAAACAACTCTGTCTGTACGAAAGAACTCCCGAACACATCAGTTGTATGGCATACATCTTGATCTGAAAACTGGAACGTGGTTTCGACATAATAGGCTTATTAAAAACTTGGTAAGAATTGGGGATGCATATGTGACGTAATGACTTGGACCTGCAGTAGCGGAGGCAAGCTTCTGCGTATCTCTGTGTATCAAGTCTGCCTCCTAAGTGCACCCCTTAAAATTAAAGACTTAAATTCGATTCTTCACAAAGACTTGTTTAAAACATTTCACGTGTGTTTTTTCCTTCCCCAAGCTGAAGAAAGGGACCCAAAAGTAAAGCACATTTTTTATTTCAGATTGTTTTAAATTTGTATTAATACCTTTCATTTTAATATCTCAGGGACACATCTGCTGCTGTCCTAAAGATGATTCTTCAGTGTTGCTGACTACAAATGACCTGAAGTATTTTTATTTTTTTTAACATGTGTCATAGTGGTATCGGTGTTTTATAACAGAAGCAGAAGTGCCTTATACTAAGTGACAGTATTTTGCAGAGCAATAACTGATCCTGTTATTTAGTCATGTCCAGAATCTGGCCCTAAGTGAGAACTGGCAGCAATGCTGAATGAATTATTTGCTTTCTGGAAAATAGTTTTCCCATATAATCTCTGGGAAAATTTTACAGAAGAAAAAAATTTACTTAGTAACTTGGTGCAAGTCTTACTTGCAGTATAAAATTTGGTTTTGTGGTTTGACAGTTTTATTTGAATTATTTCACCAAGGTCACTTTTCTTTCTCCCTGTGAAATTCATTGCTGACATAGTAAATGGGCATATCTCCAGTAGGCTTAGAACAATCTATAACAGCAGTGAATTCAGGACACAGAGTAGTACAGAAGTGGACTTACTTGTGTTTTGGGTAGAACATAACAGGAATTAAAAATAGAAATTAATGATGGTGAATTTACTTTTTTTTTTTTAATTAGGCTTTGTTCTCATCTGCCTTGATTATTAGTTTAATTTACTGGATAAATTATTTGGTCTTGACTAGCATTGACTTGGAAGTCTCTGAACATAGTGTATTGATCTTTTCTGAACTCTCATGCTCCCACTGTTGCTCCTTATTTTCAGTGTATCAGACTAGATTGAATTTCTGCTACTCTTTTCTCCTTACAGACACATTTTATTTTTCAGTTGACCAACTGAAAGAATAATCCCCTTTCTTTATGTTTGAGCAGAAAAACTAAATGGTTTTCAATGTCTTTAGCCCTTGCTAAAGTCGCTAGAGCAGACTTTTATGAAAAGGCACATGCACAGGAGGAAATCTTCATTTAACTTTGCTTTGCCCCATTTTCCCTAAAATGCCACTGGAAGCAGGGCAGGTTTTCTGGTAACTATCACACAGTGAAAGACTTCCTTCTTGAACAAGTATTGTTACAAGTATCAGATGTTACTGAATGTTGGAACTTGTTTTGGGGGGAAAGAAGAAATGTTTATTCCATTCGAACTTGTTTTACCTGGCATGAACGTTGCTGTTGGAATTCATCTCAAGTACAGTACTGCTGCTCCTATGTGGCTGGTGTTTTTCAAGGAAATCGTAGGCCTAAAAATAGTCTGCATAAACAACAGTAAGAGGTTTGTACTTTCAGTTCCAGGTTTTAGCAATATCTTGTTGTTATTTTCTAATTGTCAGTTTCCAAAATCCATTAAGCTGATTAGCAGAGTGTTTAAAAACAAAACAAAAACTCCAAACCCAAAAATCCACCTCTTGTGGAACCTTGCATAAAATGTTATGCTTGGATAAATTCAGTACAGAAAGACTGGGTTATTGTAGTAATCACCTTTAAATCTTGATGAACGGGTTACATTCTGAGCTTTTTTCAGGCATCTTCCAACTTGTGGAATTGCCACATGATTCTGAAACGGTGGTCTTAGGAGAGAATATAATGTGGCAGCTCCTACTTGTTGGAATTCATGGTTGTTGTACATATTTAACATCCTCTGTGTACTGAAGAAAGAGCTTTACTTCTTTTCCTTTGGATTAAAAGAAAAATAAATTAACAGCCTGAAGAAATCAGGAAAAAATCCAGCTTGCAAATTGCAGTACGCATTTTGTCATCAATTTTATCCTTGTATATCTGTCTCCACATCACCTTTCATGATGGAAATTGATCTTTACACTTTGTCTGGTGTTTTTAGTAGCATGTTTACTAAGACACATTTTAAAATTCTGTAATTCGGACTAGATAAAAAATTTCATTTGTCTCTGGAACAAGATGGTCATCTAGTTCCTGGTGAAAAGGGCTTTACACTGAAGCTGCTGTTAAAACATAAAATTATTTTTCCTCCTTGCCCTGTTCTTCATGAGGTGTTCTAGAAAGTCAGTTGGGAAGCAGGAGCTGAAACTGAGGGCTAAGAACCCTTGCTGATTTTAATGGGGGTTTAGTTTCTGATTTGTGCATCTGGGACAAGGCTACCTTTTGCCCCGCTTTAAGTTGTCGCCTGCAACTGTAGTGAATGCACTTTCAGCGTACCTGCACGTGTGTAGGGAGAAGGGAAAGCTCACCTTTTCTTTGTGATTTCTGCTTCATAAAGAATTCATATGAAGGAATTTAAAAGGAAACTTAAGAGTATATTGGTTTTAAGACTGTGATTAATCATTGATGTTGTGGTTAAAGTTAACTGTAGAAGCATTGCTAGATCTCCTCATAATACTGAAACGGGAGGTGTCTGAGCAGCGTGGTCTGCTGCATACTCGGTGTTGGACAGTGCGACTGGGGGTGCAAACAGCATAAAAATCTGCATCCTGAAGCTGCTGGTGTGCTACGGCTTCGGGTCCTGTAGTGACACCACAATAAAACAGAGTTAACACATTGGTTCCTTGAGATTTTCGCTCTTTGACTTGAGGTGAAAGATAATTAGAAGGTTACAGTTAATTGTTAAAAACATTTTAAAGGCTCCAGGATATCTTCTTTAGGTAATGTCTAATGAGTTTTAATTAAATGCATCTTTTTATACCCATTTGGCCTATTACTGCTACTTCTTCAGAAAGTAAACTGAAAAACTGATAAAAAAGCTATGTTCCATCTCACTTAACTGAACTTGTAATGAAATTGGTTTAGGGATTTCATTTATTAAAACAATTATAGTGATGATAAATTTTAAAAAAATTCATCCTACTTTCAGGAAGATTACATGTAGGCAGTTTATTTGAGTCATTGCTTTACTTTTAGCAGGAGCACATTATATTGTACAATTTATGTGAATAAATTACCTAAATTAAACTACTGGTATGTTTGTTAGCAGAAGGAGCAGAGTGGGAGGGGGTTGGAATGAGTTTACCAGACCTGATTAATAAAACTGTGGATCTGGCCCTCTGCTGGGTGGTGCTAGGAAATGCATGTTTTAAATACTGGTGTACGTATGTTGAGCAATTTCAGTGTGTTCAGCATTTTGTGAATCTTGAGTGCATTAAAATATAACAAATCTCATCTGGGAACCTGTCAGTTACTAAAGCATTAGATAGTTTGTCTAATTTGAGAACGAAAAGTTACTCTCTTTCTTTCCTATCCCCAGTTTTCTAGACAAGATTGACATAGTCAAACAAAATGAGTATACACCGTCTGACCAGGTAAGGAAAGTTTCATTAAGAAATTACACAATTTATCTGCCCCCTCCATCTTTGAGGATAACTATCTCGTTAATTTTGGAGTTGCCATTTATGGCACTGATACAGCTATTACCACGTACTGAACATATTTATTATTCCAGTAAAAATTACTTTGACATTTGGATCAAGATTATGTTTATACATCTAAACGTGCTGTGAAATGAAAATCTGCCTAGCTTGAAGACTTAGATCATGCTTCTGTGACACTAAAACTCAAATAGCTATTTGAATGAGTAATTTATGTTTTGCCCTCCTTGCTGAAAATAACCGTCATCCGCTTTCTTCAATGCAAAGTTAGTTGGTATCGTCTCAGCCCCACTGGCTCCAACTATAAACCAGATTTTCTAGAAATAACCTTAAATCAAAACCTTAAATGTAGCTTCGTAATGTTCTGTTCCCTGTTTTTGCAGTATAGCACACACTGTCAGCACTGGGTGAAAGGTTGTTATTTCTGTTGCTGGATATATGAAGAATTATGAAGTATCTGTATTGTGTCAATGACTTTTCCTTTATGCTCTAGGATCTTCTCAGATGCAGAGTTTTGACATCAGGAATTTTTGAAACCAAGTTTCAGGTGGATAAAGTAAATTTTCAGTAAGTATCCTTATTTTTTCCATCTTTTCTTTTTTTTCCTTTTTTTAATACAATGCAGACAAATACCAGGGTAAATTGGAGGACAGTCTACCATACAGTCATTGAGACTACTGTATTTCTCAAGTATTTTATGATTTTTTTAATTTAGTAGTCTGGCTTTAAAAAGAAATGCAAATTGGTGTGCAATTTTCTGCTTTTATTTTAAAACGCAAAGAACAAAACATTTTAAATCTATTTTTACTAGTGCCTTTTCTGAGTATTTGGTTCATTGCTAGTTTATAGTGAAATATTTGACCAAAAATGTTGTGGATATCTAAGTAACACAAAATGCATGCTCTCTTTACTGTCCCAGGTTAGAAAGGTTGCTTGAGCCGAACAATAACCACCGAGTTTTAGTCTGACTTTGGATCTGTGATACTTGTTTCAGCAAATGCCTTGTTGTAGGACCTTTCTTAATGTCCCAGCTTGTAAGGATGAAAAGGAATCTGCAATGTATAGATGCCAGAATTTCTTACCTTCAAGAGTAGATGTCAGTGGAAGTAAACTAAGTATATTTAGTGATGAAAGCTCTCTGTCCGTCTGTTGGTGAACTGTTACCTGTTCAGGTTCTCATAATCCTCGATTCTCTTTTAGCTTCTATGACATGGAAGTCCTAAAATTTCTTACATTTTTTCTTTGCATTTGGGGGAAAAAAACCAAACAAACACAAAATGTATTCTGACTCAATTTATGGTTTTTTTTTCTTAGTATGTTTGATGTTGGAGGGCAACGAGATGAACGCCGAAAATGGATCCAGTGTTTTAACGGTATGATTAGAATTTACGTTTGTTTTATAAAATAGTTCCCGGCAAAATTTGAAGGTCCAGTCTTACTCTTCTCACTGTAAAAGCCATTGTCTTTTCCATGTAGCTTGATAAGGAATTATCTGAACAGTCGTACAGGATGGAATTTTTCTTGACATGTAAACGTCTGTAACTGCATAGAATGTCTTTTGGGAGAATGTAGGTGGAGAGGAATTCAAGTTTGATAACATGACATAGCTTATCCGTTTTCTTTGGCTTCCCTCTCTTCATTTAATTAAGGTTTTTTTGGTGGTGGGTTTGTACGTTATTTGCCAACGATGTGAGCATTAAATTCCAAGCTATATTCTGCCTTCCAAGTGAAGGTTTACATATGTTTGTGCCTGTACAAAATATGCAATTATGGGATATTTAATATATACATAAAATCAGAATATCATATTTTTCTCATAATTCAGCCACATTGCTATGTCATGGGTGCCTCTTTCCAAATCAGCACCGAGTTGTTAATGCAGTATGAGATTGTAGGGAACATTGGGCATGTTAGACACGGTGTCACATACGGTATGTAGCGTAGTAGCCCCAAAACGCCCTTGGCAAAAAAGTTTGTGATGGAGTTTATAAATCTGCACTTTTCTAGAGAGCCGTGCGTATTAATACAATTTCTTGAAAACAGCCCTAAGGGGAAGGCCCTGATTTCATACCCTCATTGCAGTAACCTGCGTGTAAGCTGTGTTCCTTGGAAGGCCAACGTAGCACCAGCCTAGGTATGGGTGAGCCCTGACACGTCTGCTGGCGTTTTGTGAGCTCTGCAGCCTTAGCGCTGGCGTCCCCGTCAGTTTAGTTCAGGTGGTTGTCACAGAATTGTGGAAAGGTTTGGGTTGGAAGGGACCTTAAAGATCACCTCCTTCCAACCCCCCTGCCATGGGTAGGGACACCTCCCATAGACCGGGGTGTCCCATTCAGCCTGGACTCGAACACTTCCATTTGGGGACAGCCACAACATTATATTCTTAACTCCCGTGCAATTTAAATCGCGTAGTTTTGTGTGTATCCTGAAGTGTTGCATGTACCTTCACTACAGCTGTTATTTTACTCTTTATCTCTGTTTAGATGTGAAGCTTTTCTCCACACATGTTTTCTTAAAGCTAGAGTTGCTGAAAATATTTTTGTCTTTCTCTTTGTTGTTTGGACAAAATATTTATGAAGCTATGCAAGACTCTATCTTTTTGTAGAAAAACTATAATGAGATCCTACAGAATAGCTGAAGTGGAGTGCAACTTAGAATTCATCGTATTTTGCTACCGCTACTATCATACAGTATCACCTAAACACTTTAGATATGTGTGGAACTACGGTGCAGTATTTTCTTCTGTGCTACTAATGACAGATTTGTTTGAGTTTTACCTCTGCTCCTTCCTCTTCCTGTTACTTCATGATCTGACTTATTTCTTCTGCTGTTGATGTCTGAGGTAGATGAGCCTGGAAGTCAGTGTAAGGGATCTGGAGCAGCACAGAAACACAAAGATCTGGATCCTGGGAGTATGTCCCAGGAAAGAGACAGGGGGCTCTAAGCAGTATATAGTACACTACAGGAGGACTGGAGGAATTAACCATGAATTCACAGCAATCTACTATTTTTATTATTACTATTCATGCTGGTCAAAAGTGCCATTTGTCCTGAGTTTTCGCCCAAGGGCCTCCTTGTCCTTTCTCGGTATCCGAGTTGCTTTCTAAATTTCTTTACATCTTTTAAATTTTCTTTACATCTTTTAGATTTTCTTTACATTCTCTTAGCTTTCTACAGTTTCTCTCTCTTGCTTCTGTTCCTTTCTTTTCTGCATTTTCTGTTATTCTGTCAGCTTCTGTCATTCTGTCAGCCTGCCTTTCCTATCTTTAATGGTTTCTTCATTTTCTTTTTTTTTATTTCTGGTACCTGGCAAGCTGTCAGTAATAGCATTCTAGCCTGTTCTCTTCATGAATCTGAAAGTCTGGCAGCTTTTTAATGAACTTTAGGATTTCTGGATATTTATTCTGAAGTTGGTGTTAACTAATGGGTATTTCTTGATTTAGATGTGACTGCTATCATATTTGTGGTGGCGAGCAGTAGCTACAACATGGTTATACGAGAGGACAATCAGACCAATCGGCTTCAAGAAGCACTAAACCTCTTCAAGAGTATCTGGAACAACAGGTCTGTGAATTGTAGTTTCGTTGTTCATATCACATCAACTAGTAATCCTGTCTTATACTATAGTCAAGACTTGTGTACTGGGCCTGGCTAGGATAGAGTTCATTTTCTTCACAGCAGCTCATATGGTGCCGAGTTTCAGCTTTTGGCCAAAGCAGTACTGATAACACAGTGATGGTGTAGCTGTGCTGAGCCGTGTTTGCAGAACAGCGAGCCCTTCTCTGTTTCTCATTCTGCCCCCCCCCAGGGAATAGACTGGGGGTGCACCGTAGGTTGGGAGGGGACACCAGCAGGCAGATGACCCAGACTAACCAAAGGGGTATTCCATAGCACATAACATCGTGCTCGGCCATCAAAGGGAAAAGAGGGGCGTTTGGGAGGGTTAGCCAGCTTGCTGGGTGTTGGTTTACCCACAGGAGGGGCTGAATGATTGCCTTTGCATCACTTGTTTTGTTTTGTTTGCTTCTCTCTTCCACTTATCCTTCACTTATTAAACAACTATTATTTATATTTTTTATCTTGACCCCCAAATTTTCTTGCTTTTATTCTGCCTTTCCTCTCTCTCTGTCCCACTGAGGGGGAAAGTGAGCGAGCAGCTGTGTGGTGCGTTGCTGCCCACCGGGGTTAACCCACAACAGCAGCGTTCCTTGATTCTCACGGCGAGTCCAAGCTAGTCTTTGATCGTAACTGCCTCCCTGTTCCATTAGTGTCTAACGCACTCACCCGATTGAAGAAAACTCGGGAGAGTTACGGATTGGTCGTTGCCGTGTTGAGGATGAAGTAATTAAAGCAGTGGTAGAGCAGCACAGTGAAAAGTGGATCTGCTCACCTATTCAGTGTGTTTGGATTAGCAGCAGAAAGTGGGCAGCTTTCATTGCCAGTGTTAGAAGCACACAAACCGCAGTCAGGGTGTGTGCACCAGGAATTACACCATTGGCTTCAGGTGTAAAAGGAACCTTTCAAAATTATTGTAGTGTGACATATGACTGTTGTCTCCAGAGCTGGATTAAGTTTGTGATCCTAGCTGTGCCTTCTCAGAGTGTTTGGTTTCAATTTTCTACAGGTGGCTACGGACCATTTCAGTAATTCTTTTCCTGAATAAACAAGACTTGCTAGCAGAGAAGGTTTTGGCAGGGAAATCTAAAATTGAGGACTACTTCCCAGAATTTGCTCGCTACACTACTCCAGATGATGGTAAAATTTTTTTAATTTTTATTAGCAATCTATCATTTCCTTGTTAATCGCATTTGTAATGTTTTTGGTAATTTCAGCTAAGACTTGAACTCGTAAGTAGATGTAATCTTTGTTGTCTTGCAGCCAAACTGTAATGTTAAATTTTAGGTATTAACAGTGAGAGACTCCTGTCTTTTATACATTTAATACATTAATAATTTTATCATGCCAAAATCCTGTTACTTTACTGGTGTAGACCACAGTACAGCTTGTCACAAATATGTCCTCTGGCTTCCCCCTAGTCATATCTGTGGTCATTTCTCTAACCTGCCAAGTGCCTGGTGCTATGGCCACTGTAACGTTCCTTTGTTGTCCTGCAGTCTTGCTGGTTTAAATAATAATGTTATGGTTCGTCTTAGCTCGTAGTCAGTTTTGCAAAGTGTGTTTCTGTCATACATGAGCAGAATACAGAACAAGTTATGATTTTTAGGTGCTATCACCAAAAAACATCTGTTTTAATGAGGTACTTATTTTATTATTAATCAGCAACACCAGAGCCTGGTGAGGATCCCCGAGTTACAAGGGCCAAGTATTTTATTAGAGACGAGTTTCTTGTAAGTATTTCCTTTCTTTCAGTATTTCTTATGTGATTCTGCTCAAATATAAGCTCTTGCACACCACTGTTGCGAGATGCTGTCACTTTTTGTGTTGTTCATATTTAACATACTCACTGCATAAAACACTGTTACATTTAAGAGCTTTACTGCTGTTTCTTAGCTGCTCTTCAGATATTTGTTTGTTGACACAGTAAGTAATTAAATAGGAAAAGAATTGATGAGAATTACGAAACCTCAAATAGAATGGTGAGTGAAGTCCTGCTGTAATTAATGGGGCCAGATTTTTATTCCATGCATTATTTCTAAAGATAAAGACTAATCAAAAGTTGCATCATCTGTAAAATATTAATGTTCTCTTCATACTGTCTTTCCTGTTAGTGGTCAGCTGAAGCTCTAATAGACATAGATTTTTTTTTTAAATATTATTACAGTTACTTACAAGGATGAGCCTGGCATTCAAATTGTGGACTCATTTTAAAATGGAGCAAAACAAAATTTTGAGGGAGGCCATCTGTGAGTGTAAAGCAGGGGTAAAAGCCTTGTTCAAGGAGGCAAAATCCCGTTTTATTCAGGGACAAATGGACTAGGAGTTGTGTGGCTAAATTCACCGAAGCTGCATATAAATAATAGCACTTTCTTGAGTTCTCGTTCAACTCTGAAATTCCACATTATGCAGTGACCTCACCGTGTAATTCTGATCATTTTAAATTTCGTGTTTGAGGTGAGAGTGACAAATCACGTGCGTTTTGCCACTGAGTTACACCCCTTGAAAACACAACTCACCCATACGTAGCGTAGCCTTCGTTCATCTGAGTGTTGAGAACATGGAGTTTTTCCCCAGTCAGTTTTATTTTAACCCAGTATCTCTCTCTTCCTTTTAACAGAGAATCAGCACAGCGAGTGGAGATGGAAGGCATTATTGCTATCCTCACTTCACATGTGCAGTGGATACAGAGAACATCCGGAGGGTTTTCAATGACTGTCGGGACATTATTCAGCGCATGCACCTTCGCCAGTACGAGTTGTTGTGATGGAGAGCACTTTTTTCTGTGTTTTGGACTCCTTATTCCTTATTAAAAAAAAAAAAGAAAAAAAAAAATCACACCCTTGCCCACATAGGGTGGAAGAGAACTGTTTGAATCTCCCATTGATTTGCACCCCTCAACTTTTTCTCCTTGCTGGACAATAGCAGCACTTCTAAGCTTGCTTCTGTACCCCTCGGACGGTTTGAGATGGCCCCTAACACTTAAAAGGCCATTTCCATGAGGATTCCCTAACGCTGTTATTAACAAAAAAGAGAGAAAAAAACCAAATAAAAACTAATTAATTAAAAGCCCTGAATGTGGAGCACCTGAAAGAATTGGGGTTGAAAAATTAAAACAAAAACAAACAAACAAACAAAACAAGCAAAAATTGGGGAGAGAGAAACCTTTAGGTAATTTAGCACTGTTGTGGGCATAATCATATAACCCGTGATCTCCACTTTGTATCATTCACTGCATCAGACTAAAGAAGGTGCCAAGTCACAGACCAAGTTTGAAGACAGACACTTGAGTTTGGTTCTCTGACTGTAATGTGGCTTTGAACGGAAATACTGACAATTCTACAACAGACCTAGACAGTGCAAAAACCAACTGCTACCTTTCAGAAGGGTATTTTTAAAACCAGTCTTGGTGGTCTAAAGACAACCATGGACACTTACGAATTGAACTGCGTATGGCCTGTGATTGCAGAAAGAGTTAACCACACACTGTTTTCAGTTTGTCCACTGATGATCCCGTCTGCTATAAGAATCATTATCTGGACTGTAGTCCTCACAGTCTTTCCCTTCTTTTCCTTCTTCCCTCCCCTCATTTTTTATTTTACTGCTGGATTATTATTCTTGTACAGACTGTAAAATGTATTATTTTGTACAACTTTATTGAAAAAAAATAACTTGTAGAAGATCTTTGTGCCTTGATTATGGCTGTACCTGTACAATGAGCTAAGATGTAAGTATGTTTGATTGCGCTGTACAGCTTTGTCAACCCTATCTGCAGCATTAGCTCAAGGTAGGGAAAATTTATCTGTAGTTTAGTTTTTCTGGTTTATAAAAGAAGGAAAAATACTGTTTAGTAAAAAAAAAAAAAGAAAAAAAAGAAAAAAAAAAAGAAAAAAGTACAAATTGTGCAAACTTAACCACTTTAAAAGTGAGGTCTTCAACAAGTGACCAGATGTTGCAGCATCATGCTTTTTAATTTTTAGCTTTAATTCATTTAAATCTCTATCCAAATGCAAAACATGGCTTGTTTCTACATAAACCAAATTTTGCTACAAATTATAAATGTTAGTCTTTGGTCATTCATAGTCCTTTTTGCTAAAGACAACACCAGAACAATAACAGACACATAGGGCATCATGCAGGTCTGGTGACCATCTCTGGACTGGGCCAAATACCCCACCAACCTCCGCTCGCGCTGCGTGGGCATACTACTACCAGAATGACAAGGTGTGCACTGCCCTTGGATTTGGCCACTGAATTCCAGTTTCAAATGACATTTTTATTTCTCTTTTAATAAAGAGATACTTTAGAACCTTTTTGTTTTATATTAACTATATAAGTAGCTTAAAGTGAAGATGTGTGGATTTTTCTTAAACTTGAATAATTTATGCAAATTATATGCTTAGAACAACATGTGGTACAGTAAAAAGAAAAAGAGCAAAAATCACTGTAGCAATAAGAGAGCATGTAATTTTAGTAACTACTACACTGCTTTATATTTTATACCTAGGTGTTTTATGTCTCTGTGAGTGTGTTACTTTTTCATGTGTCTAAACCTACGTGTACAATTTGTACAGAGTCAGAAATTACAGCTGTAATAACACATCTAGAACAGTGTTAGCCTATATTACTCAAACACCCCTGTTCACCCTTCATTTACACCCCTGAACTGATCTGGATCCTACTGCAGTGACTTCACAAGGAAAACGAAAGAAACAAAACAAAAAACAAACACCAAAATACTCGCCTCTTTGCCTTTCACACTAGCTTCCCTCCACCCAAGAGACTGTGTTAACTTTCTTTTTTGGGAAGAGGTCCCGTTTCAACTAACAGTAGGGTGTGGTCAGTGATGTCTGTGCAGCTAGATTTGCTTCAGGTGTCAGATGCCTTTTTAATACTAAGAACTGCAGCTGTTCAGAATTGTGAGTTTTCGTTGCTTTTGTGGCTAAACTTTTAAATGAAAATTAATCACCTAGTCCATTTTCACATAAAGAGGAGGGACTTGATGGAGTTACTGTCCCATCTCTCTTAATTCCAAATTACTAGTGATCTTCCAGAAGACACAAAATCATCTAAAAATTTTAGCTGCGGTTTCTATTCTTAAAAATTACCTTTCCTGTTCACAGGTTTAGAAAGTTGCCGCCTGAACTTTGTAGAACTGTAGGAGAACATGACTGAAAAGAGCCCCCTACAATTTAAGAATGTATCCAGTGCCTGTAGGTTAAGGGCTGGTGTTTCCACTAGGTAAAAATGGGCCACATAGTGGAAAGGAAATTCATTGTGAGCCTTAATTTTAGTTACAGGAGCCAAAATCTTTAATTTAGTGCCAACCCTGATCTTTTTAAGCCTCGGAGGAGTTGGTGTAAACACCAAATTTATAAATGGGGAAAACCTGTAGCGGTGTGAGGAATGTAATCTCTCATCTGAGAGAAACAAAGCACCTCCATTAAAAAAAAGTAACAAAAAATAAGCTCCTTACTCTCATGATGAGAAGGATACATAACGAGCTATATAAGACAGCAGCAGTTTAAGAAACCTAAAGCTTTATACGAACAGAAATGTTTAGGGGATGCTTTTTTTTTTTCCTTAACTGAGGAGAAAGGCAGTTGTGTTGAATATGGTTGAGTTGCACAAGTACGGAGTGTGTGTGTGTCTTAATGTCTCAGTATTGCCTTTGTTAGTCTCTTTATTAGTCCATGCAGTTTGGTGGCCTGGTAAATGCAAGTCTTATTTTTAACAGCTTTCTTTTTTTTTTAAAATACAAAACCATAAAGCTTTAATGCTTGCTATTTAATAAGTAACTGTGTTTTCTTCTGTCTCTAATTTAGTGGCCATAATTTGCAGTTAATTGAACCATTCCGACCTAATGCTTACCCATATTTCCTAGTTTCGTTTTATTTATTTATTTGAACTTCTTGTTTTCATGATTGAGGACTTTCACTTCTGTCTCATTCATCTGTTTGGAAACTTCTGACCTTACAGCCAAAACTTAACTCATTCTACTCAGTATTCATCGTGATGCTGAAGTGTAAGATACCTGCAAATGTAAACACTACCACTTTTATTAATAAAAGCAAATACAGTGTTTTAGGGCACATTTGCATCACTATAGTTGAGGTTGTGTCAGTATTTCCATTATAAACCCATAGAGGGTCTATATCTTGGCACTAAATTGCCCTAAGCTAAATCTTCGCCATACAAGGCTTCTGCTCAAGCATGATTTGGTGGGTTGGTTTTTAAACAGTTTCCAACACAAACTCTTGTTTCTGTTTTAAGTTATAGAACTGTTTCTTTGGATGGGGGTTGGTTTAAAAAAAAAACAACAACAAAACAAACAAACCTGGTTCAAGATTGTTTTTGGCACTTCTGTAACTCAGAAATGGTTTTGATTTTAAAACATAACCTTTGGCAAGCCAGTAACCTACAATATGGTCTGATCACTTTGGGTATTTTGTAAAAATAATAATAAATTGTAGAGATGTTGTGATTTCAAAATCAGCTACTGTGCATTTGCAGTAACTTCTTTCAACCCAAGAACTTTTAGTAATTTGTACATCAGTACGCATACTCAGCAGCCAGTGTGATGCAGCAGAATAGTGATAACTCCTGAAGGGATTTGTTGGGGTTTTTTTTTAATAACGTAAAGAGATAAATCCACTACAGACTAAAAAAAGATTCAGCTGCTTCTGAAAGCATCAAAAACTGCTCTCTTAGAGGCTGAAACTGGAGCTCTGTAAGTCGTTAGGAGCAGACTTTGATGCAAAAGCATGTGAAGGCATGTTGGATCAGTTGTCGTAGACAGGAGCCCTGAGGGCTTATCTTCGTTTATCAAAAAACTATTTTGAATCGTGGCATCGAGGATAGGATTTAACTTGGAGCATGTCATTAACTCCAGAGGAACTGAAGCTCATTCTGTTCCAGTCTGTTGCACATAATTGATACCTGCAGGATAATTTTCTTTCAGCAGTAAATCTATGCACAGAAATATTAATGCTCATCACTTTAGAATCTGAGCACCTTGTAATTAGTCGTGGCGCAATATTCCTGTAAATGATGTAGGATGTGTTGTATTACATCCCGTTTTCCAATGCTGAGAATTATGTACCAGGAAGACGAAAAAGATAGAAACATGATTACGCAGGAAATTGCCCACAGATACGGAGATAGCCCCCACGGCCGCTGAGTACCAGCCCAGTGCCTTAGTGATAGTCCTGTTGGTGAGTGGTGCTATGCAAACATCTAGGACTGATGAAGTTGTTACAAGGTAAAAGATTATGTGACTTACTCTGGAAGAGAGTAAATTCTTTCCCCAGCTGTATGTAAGACGCTCTCTGTATTTCTAACAATGCTGGCACTCGTAAGACCTCTTCCATGGAAGTAGATGATAAAATTCCTAGTAACTGGAAGAAGCAGGATCAGGGCCATAGATTACTGTCAGTGGAAATCTCAGACAGGAGCAGGTCCTCATCCCTAAAAATCTATGTTGAGTTTGTGTAACAGTAAAAATACTGACAAGCAAACATCTGTTTGCAGTCCAAAACCAAAGCTGTACCTTATTTCCTCAGCTTGATATTCCTGAACATTCATCCACTGGGAAAAAGTTTTTCTGTCCCATGACAAACTTTGAAGTGTCTTTTTAAATAAAATCAGCGACAAAGGGGATTTCTGAACCTCTGCTGATGAAAGCTGTTACACTGAAAAAAAACCCTCTGGTGACTGACAAGACAGAAATTCCAGGAGTGAACCTGTTGTAATCCTGGTCGTAACCAGTTAGCTTAAATACTGCCAGCGGATGTGTTTCGGTTCTAGGCAGGTAAACTGCTTTCTTTAGAGTGTTCTCCTGTATTGCAGAGATTGCTAAAATTTCAGCCGTGAGTACTGGCTTCGTAATTAATTGTTTTCAACCCTGATTCTCATCTTACTAAAAGTTAAAACAGCCTTTTACCCTGGCTGCTTTTAATGTACGGAGCTGAGCAAAACGGGTGCAGTTTAAAGCACAAGTCTACTTGGAAAAGCAACTTGGGAGGAGGTGGGGAGGCAGGCTAAT